CCAGCAGCCTCTCTCCTCCTCTCCTCTGTCCTGCTCCTCCTAAACTCCTGCTGGCTAGGAGTGATTAGCATATTTCCTAGTCCTGATCAAGGGGCAGGGTGTGACTCAGAGACAGGTATTCAGGAAAAGATACACAGGGAGAAAGGCAAGAAAGGAGATGTGGCCCATAGTTATGTAAGTCTCAGAATTATTTTTAAAGTTTTTTCACAAACCCAGATTTTGAGAGAAGGGAAAATATGTGAGCAGCTGTACCTCAAATGACTTATCTTTATCACTCTCTTCTTTAAGGTCATCAAAGCCAGGAAAAACAAGATATAGCCACTTGATTCTTATTCAAATATGGAAACTGTATTGGAGTCCTAAAAACCTGAATGCTATTTACAATGGTGTTGATGGAGAGAAAACGCAAGTTTAAGAAGAAATCATATAATGTACAAGTTCAGGAAGAAAGTATATAAGATACAATTTTAGGAAGAAAAATATATATAACTTTGCAAAAGTATAAATAAAAGACCACTTTATTGTGAAAAATGAATTTAAAAAATACATATATATGTATACACAAGATAGTTAGGATAGATATGCAGCTTCTTTCTCTTAGTTCATTGAGATAAAAGGTTTGTACTAATATTGTTTAGACAGAATATCATGCCTGCATCTTGTACTCTGAATAACTACTATGAAGAAAACAATATGCAATGTATTAATTATTGTACCTGTCCTACTAACCTGTTTTGAAATTGTATTATTGCTATTTTATCTTTTTTCTCATTAAATAAATATATCTATATTACATAAAAACAAGGTATAAAAAGTAAAGCCATATTAATATGCTGAGCTGTAAAAGGCTCAAGTCAATAACTTCTGACAGTGCCAATCATGAAGATAAACCCAATAATATTATAGACTACTGAACTATATTGGATTACTTTGCTGAATTCATGTACCTACAATATATGAATGACAATGGAATAGCCATCTCTGACAAAAGTAAACAAAAAGGGGGTATAAATGAAGGACCATTTTGTATTGAAAAAAATATATACATATATCTCTATATACATTACAGTTAGCATAGATGTACAGCTACTTTCTCTTAGTTCAATGAGAAGAAAGTTTTGAACTAATAGTGTTTAGACAACATATCATGTCTGCATCTTGTACTATGGATAACTACTACAAAGACAACAATATGCAATATATTAATTATTTCAACTGTCCTACTAACCTGTTTTGAAACTCTCATTGCTTCTTCTTTCTCAATAAAATCAATATAAATATATATACATAGATATATATTGCAATTATTTATGTCAGTCTTTACATTAGTTCTAAACGTTTGATGGGTGTTGTTTTTTCCTTTTTACTCTATAATAAGAGGCAAAAAGCACAATAAAGACAATATTATGTTCTTAATATTTAGATGGTAATTCAGATCTTGATTTGCAATCTAGGCTATTTGAATATAAGGAATATGACTAAGAGTAAAGATGAAGAGTTTGAAATTGAGGAATATTTTGGAGGAACACAATTGAGAAGTTGTCAGCCCATTCAGGGAACACAAGGAAGATTTTTATGGGAAAGCGTCCCAGCTCAAATAACAAATGTGTGCAAGACATCAGCCACAAGAGCAGGCAACATGAGGCAGAGCAGAACAAAAAAGCCCAGGATTGCAAGAACCACCTGCATATTTACTGTATAATACTTATACAGGTTGTTATCACATATTTACATTCTTGCATAGTGCTGTAACCAGTGCATGCGCGATTACCTGTGCTAGGTCATCATTACATAACTACATACCTGCACTAGACAAGCTGTGTCACAACCTCAGGTGTGCTTTGATGTCCCTGTTCTTAGCAGTCTTAATGGTTTCCCACAGCTGTTCAATATTATATAGAACCCAGGGAATTAATACCCAAAATCTATTATAAAAAAGCACAAACAGACTGGGGAGATAGCTCAGTAGAATAAGTGCTTGCCTGGCAAGCACAAGGGCCTGAGTTCAATCCCCGGTTCCGAAAAAAAAAAAAAAAAAAAATGTGCGCCCAAAAAAACACAAACTTTCTACTGTTATGTTCTGAGGCCAAAGATGAAAGTTATAACAATGTATTGCCTCTTTTCTAATTTCATTCTTTTTTTGTACTATAGTAGGCTTAGAGACTAAAGAATCTAACTGGACATATTTGTATCTTCTCTGATATTATTCTAATAACATGCATGCATTTATTTATTTATATACATTGTTATATACATACCTAACTACATGTAAATACATTGCATACAATGCAAATATATTACACAACAGTATTTCTAAATAAAGATTACTTTGGATACATGGGGAACCACATTCTGAAATAAATGTAGAAAACGTGTTCATTTAGTTATTTTGCATCATAATTTGTTTTTAATTATTCCTCATTTAAATAATGTTCTGTTGAGAATATAGATGTAGATATTTGAAATCATACTGTATAATTTGTTATATACTTAGCTAGACCCTTAAGCTATACACTGTGCTTATACACTTTGACCTGGCTTTGCTGCCTGTCCTTGAAGGCATGACATTTCAACATTCTCTTCCCTTCATCTTTTCTTAAATTTACACCTATATTTACACCTATATTTTATGTTTCAAGAAAAAAAAATTATTGAAGAGTCCTATTCATTTTTGATCTGCCTTTCGCTATATTGATATATCCTGATGTCTTTTCTTTCATCTGAGGCTGGTTTTGAAACATAAGCAACCCTAGTCAAGTTTGATTTCATTTGGCTTAATTTTGGCCCATAGGATTCTCAGCTTTGATTTGCGTTGTTGTTGTTGGATATTGCTTCCTATCAAAGTTTCCATGTGTGTTTTTTCCATTCAAAATTGCCGAGGTCTTTCCTGACACTATAAGAAGGTGTCACTGAATCCAAGAGTGAATTTGCTCCTTTTTCTTTCTCCCATGTGAGGATGAAGGAACAAGGTCTCACCCAATGCCAGCACCTCACTCTCAAACTTATTAGCCTCTGGAAGTTGCAAAAAGAACTTGTGTTCTTTATGAATTCCTTTGTTTGTATAGTCTAAATAGTAACACAAAACAGACTAAGACAATAGGAAAATATGCCTTGCCTCTATCAGTGAGGGTCAGATAAGAGTTGTTGGAATGAATTAGGATCTCCATTCACCCTTGTTTCATACAATGAAGGAGAGATGAATGGTGTACTTTTCTCTTTTTTCCTCAGGGTCCAAGAACACACAGGTGTGTACTGCAAGCACTGAGATCTGTATCCCCTCACTGCCACACATGTCTGCTTATGCATAACTTTACCCAACTAAGTCCTCGACTAGCTACCAACCTGGAATTGTCTGCCTCTTGCTTTCATCTGAGATTTCTGGGTGATGAGACAGATCACTAATTGTTTAGTCCTGCCTCAAGAGTTAGGAACAATGTGTATATTCAGCCATTCCTTTGTTTCATCTACTGACATTTTCACAAAATAATTTGTAGAGCATTGTTTTTATTTTTTATGGGAACAATAATAGGGATCATGTTGTATGTTCAAATTTTAACTGACGGCATAAAGCTTTAATGCAGCACATGCATTCCATCATAACACTCAATGATTAAGGGCAATTGAAAGCTCTTGAATCATGATGATTACTGTCAGACCCCCTCTATTTTCTGAGTTTTTGATTGGGACTCTCTCACCTCCTTCTGACCATGCTAACATCTCTCACTATCCATTACTTTTGACCAGCTCAACATCTACACGTAAACTGCAACCCAAATCCATCCTGCACTCCCCATGAAAGCCATAAACACCCACAGGTATTTGAGACCATCACTAAAGATTTTCCTTGATTTTTCTTTGATATATGTTCAGATGGTTTCAAGTCCAGAAATCAATCCTCTTTTATATAGGACTATTTTGGATTAAGATAGTCAGCTTTCTTCTGACCCATAGATGACCTCAGATAGTTGGTCTGCACTCCCTGTGCCTGGGGATCTTATGCCCAGTCCTGGAGTCATACTGCTTACAGGTAAATTGATGGGCTTCCATGCACCACCCACCAGTTTGTTCCTTTTGTTAAGAACTCAGAGTCGTCATACTCCAGCAGGCATCTATGACCCACAGAAATAAATTGCAGAAGTTTCATGAGTTCAACTTCCCTACCAGAACTTTATTACCCTTACAGATGTTTCAAAGCTATCATGCTATGTTGTTCCTCTCTGAGTAATACAAAAGACGAAGTAATTATTTTTTTTAATTTTATTTGTGTGTGTGTGTGTGTGTGTGTGTGTGTGTGTGTGTGTGTGTGGCTAGCTCAGCCCACCAGGGGGCTGGGCTGGCTGGCATGTGGTGCTGGGGGATTGAACCACAATCCCGCTGCTTTGCTAAACTTGTTCTAAGTAGGTGCTTTAGACCACTGAGCCATCTCACCAGCCCCAAGACTGAGTAATTATGAACTTAATCACTGAAATAATTCAGCCTGGTAATAATCAAGAGGATAACTACAGGCACAGTTTTTTTATATATAGTTGATAAAATCACATTTAACATCACATCATGCTCTGGAAAGCCCCAGGACGATGCACTATTATGAACAGCCTGAATGAATTATGTAACAAGCACGTATTTCTTAACAGACTGTCCCCTATCCGGGAAATGCATTCCAGTAATGTTACTAATAGCAATCCTCCCACCACTGCCACTCTGCGAGCCTAACTGAAGACAGATGTAACTAGAGTGTGCCTCCTCCTTTTTGTATGTGAGTTTCATGATCTCAAGTATAACATAGGTTCCTGATGACCGTTGTGACATTAGGGTGTTGAGTATGAAAATTGTAATATTTGAGCTTCTTTCATTTGTTCAGATTTCGATGAAAAAAAGTTAAGTCCTAGCTGAGTTCTAACTTGGTATGATCACTAAAGATAGAAACTGCAGTTTCGCTTTTAGAGGAAATGGAAAGTTAAGAGCATAGATGGGAGGAGCTTCACACTGAGTCCCTTTTTTCCTATAGTGTGATCCGAACACGCAGCACTCCTGAAATTACTGGATGACTCTGACCCGAAATACGTTTCTTTATTACCTTTAGAAATAGTTTATTTTCTTAGCATTTCAGAAGATTACATCTTGTCATTCAGTTTCCTGGACTTTTACTAAGTTACTTTTCTTTTTAAGCCTAAAAACCACTACTTCCTGCATTGCTACAAATCTTCCGGCACTGCTACAAATACAAGTCTCCTGCTGAAGCGATTGCTAAGAAGGTAAGATTTACAAGTGGTTTGGTAGAGAATATCCAGATTTCTCCTAAAAGGCCACAGAACAAGGAATGGAAATCAGTGTCAGTAATTCTGGGTACAGGGGGAGGTGAGTAGAGTTGGAATCATGTGTATTTATATCAGATGCGGAAGCTTGCATTTCATCTTTCACTTTAAGAACTAATGGACATGTTTGTTCCTCCATATTTGAGCCCAAAGCAATAAATTTTAATGATTGTGGATCATGAAATAAATTTGTGAGACTTGGAAAAGTCGGTATTTGGAAGAGAAGTTTTGTTTTATTTGATGGAAAATTCATAGAATTTATAATAGAACAATATTATAAGAATTATAATACAGTGACATAAGTCACATGAAAGCATCATGAAATAATATTAAATAAATGCACATAGGGACATAAACTTTATTAAATGCTAGTATTGTCAGGAATCATGAGGACCAATGGGCACATATGGTAAAAAACATTTTCAGATTCAGTCCTTCAAATAATTTCTGTCTTAATATTTAGAAAAGTGTATTTCACTTTTCATTTAACCCCTTTCTAAATCAAGTAGCAAAGGCAATACTTCAGTCACATTAGATATGTTCTACAATTCTTGTATTTATTTATTTATTTATTTATTTATTTATTTATTTATTTGGCTGGCTCAGGATGCCTTCAGGGCAGGTTTGGTAAGGCATGAGGATCTGGGTACAATTCTTAAAGTTGAATAATTTTACTCCCTGAGTCCCAAGAAATACTGAGGGGGGGAAGCCAATTAGAAACATTTCTACTACCTACTTTTAATTTTTTAAATGTCCTCTACAGCCTATCAAGATATTTCATGTCTACTTGAATAGAAAGTGAAATTGTAAATGATTTCAGAATTCTTTCATGAATGATAAAATCTGTGAATGGATTATATTTCTCACATTTTCTATGTCTTTACAATTATTTTTTTTTGAAGGACAAACAGAAGGATTTTATTGAGTGACTGTATTTCTTCAGCAGTTGATACAAAAAAGCAGAAATGTGGATGGGTGACTGGATACTTTTCTTACCCTTATCTCTCATCTGGCTAATATGCCACTTTTTTTTTTTTTGCGGTACTGTGGATTGAACTCAGGGCCTTGCCCTTGCCAGACAAGTACTTATTCTACTGAGCTATTTCTCTGGCCCTGATATACCATTTTTGAGTTCAGGCATTTTAAAGTTAGTTTAGACTTTCAGAGAGAAAAATCAGATTTATTCTCAAACACTACAAATACTTTGTAAGTAGCCTATTAATTACGGTAGTGATGAGAGACAAGCACAGTTTAGTGAGTTGTCAGCCGAAGTACCGTTTTGTTTTGTTTTGTTTTTTCATGAAACACCACTTTTACTGGTTCCGAGTGCAAGCCACAAGTAATTTTCTGGCCCCTCCCCCATCCTGAAGTCGCTCTTTCTTCTCTCTTCTTCATCATTCTTCTTCAATCCACACTTGCAAATACACGAAGAGGAGTAGCTCTGCCCCTCCAAATATCAGCAGACAGGAAGACCTGCGTGGGGTTCATGCCCATGTCAGATGGCTGCGTTTCTCCCCATTTCCCACATGATCTGTTTTTCCTCTTTCTTGTTCGCTAGGACCCCTTCCATAAAGGTCACCTCGCGGGCTGGCTGCGGCGCCGCGCTGGGCCAGCAGGTGCCGCTGTCACAGGCGCGGCCTCCGCGGAACTTCCCGCAGCCCTGGGCGCGCTGCGCGGACTCAGCGCCTGGCTGCGGGGGCGGCCGCTCCACCCGCCTCCCCACCGCGCGCTGCAGCCCAGCTGCGCCCCAGCGCCACCACCGCGGTTTTACAATGCTTTTTACTTCCCTCATTTAGTAATTGACAGAGATACTGCAATACCTACCATAAAATGATGGGGTTTTTTCCTTGTCTTTCTTTCAAATTCATACATGCATATATATTCACTCCCGTTCACCTTACTCTCTTCTCTATATGTGGCCGGATACTACATAAGATGCTATATAAAGAGAGAAATACAATCAATATTATTGCTTGCAATACTGTCGACTACAACATAATATGAAGTAGGATCCTCTTATTAAAGAAACTCATAATTAAGGCTGATGTGTCTTCTTAGCAGTTGAAATTTTCCTCATTATATGATATCTGGCAAACTTTTTGAACTCATCTCAATGCCTTTTATCTGTACTGTGCAATTCTGCTGGTCTATGTAAAGGAGCAGACAACACTTAAATTTGTTTTGTCTACTTTTTAAATTTTGTACATTTTCTCTTAATTTCTTATATATTTCCTTCTTTTTTTTTCTTTCTTCTTCCAATTATATCTGGTAACATGAATAACTGGTTGGAAGATAACACTATTTATTACAAGAAATACTGTATAATTCATATTACTCTGTTAAATGAAATTCTGTATCTCATGTAATTTTTTCTGTCTTAATTCTAATTTGCACTCTCTTTAAAAAAATATAAAAAAATACACGTACATTAATATAGATGACTTTCTTTTGCTTTGTCTTTCTAAAGTTTATGTGTGTATCTTATCTTTAAGACAAATATGTTATTGATATTTCCTGTTTTTCTTCTTTCTTTTTTCAACCCCATCCCTTTTCTTCTTTCATCAGAGTATGTTTTTAAAGCATCCATATCCCTAGTCAAGTTTGTTTTCATTTGACTTAATTTTGGCCAGCAGGATTCTCAGCTTTGCTTATTATTTTCTTCAATATCATTTCCTATCAGTGTCCCTCTACATGTCTTTCCCTTTCAAAAACACCAAATCTTTTATTAACAGAAAATACATTTTTATGCTTCACTGTTTAAATAGCATATTTATATTGTTTTAAATTTTCACTCAATTTTTTTCACATATGACAGTTGAGAGCACCTTCTCTACACATATAGGAGTAAATATATTTTGATATTTAGAACTTGGATTTTGCAGAAGGCACTCAATACTCTAATTACTGTACTACTAGCAATTCCATATGGATCTGAGTCACTATGCCACAACCAAAATCAATAGTAATTAAATAGTAAAATATGTGAATTTTCTCCCTTTAATGAAACGAACAAGGATGATTCACAGTCTTATATCATCTGACTTCCGGTGATATTTCCCAACTATACTTTGTTGTCGCCGTTACCAAAAAAGTACTTTTCTATTATGAAAACATTTTGCTTTTGCAAAAGAAAAGGGATTTAGGGTGCATATTATATAAAAATTAAACCTCTTGCTGTAATTTATTTTAATGTTGAGAAAAAAAGTTCAGCATTATTTTTGAATATCTGTATGTGATCCACTCTATTTCTCATGGCTTATGAAATATCATTTTCTGAATTTAATACTCTTCAATTTCACTGACTATAAAGTGTCTTTGTATGGATTTACCCCTCATTCTAAGGGCATTTTAAATCTGAGGATTTTCTTTTTCCTTAAAAAGGAAACAAATGACAACCTCAAAAATTTTAATATTTCAGTGGCACAAAACACAGACAAACACATCATACCTAAACTGAAAGAATTTGTAAATTTATCAAAACACTGAAATCCGTACCATTCACTGCATGTCATGAAGAAAGCATGTGGGTGCTAAAGAGGCCCAGAGGTACATCATTCAATCCATTTGGGAACTCTGAAAACTTCTAAAAGATAAAACCTCAGTTGAGTCTTCACAGTACAGTGGGAGGAAATAAGAGGAGGAAATGTTGGGATGTTTTTTACAAGAAAAGTAAAGGAAATTAGAAAGGTCATAACCTAGGAATTACACAAGGTTTGTATACATTTCTAAAGAATCTAATATAAGGAGTACAAAAAGTAGGAAATTAAAAGAGACAAATAATTTAAGCAGACCCACTACAATATTTTATAGAAGAAGGAGGGCTTTTGTTGTTTTTATTTTTATAAGCAATAGGATAAGTGATTAAAAAAAAAAAAAAAGATTTCAGCAAGACTGGTCCAGAGCCTATTGTCTTAAAATGAACTCTATTAAAAAAGAATTAAGAAAACAAATCATGCAAAACTTAAAGTAGATCCAGCCCAAAAATTCTTTGATCATGCACTAGGACACATGTGACTTTCAACATGTGACAGAGATAGGGGTACAGAGGACATGATCAAACAACACTACAGGACACACAGTGCTAATGAGAGCTAGTGAACAAAGAGCCAAAGGACAGAAGCATGGATGCCGGAAGAGTTAGGGGCCAATAGACCTATACCAAGGATAGGCTCTAGCCAGGAAAACATAAAAATAGGAGGCAGAGACTTTGATCCTGCATAATTAGAACTCTAAGCACTGTATGATCTGCCTATCCCCCAACTTTCTTCCCACACAACCATCCATATCATCATCAAGGAGGATCTCCTTAAGGATGTGCAGTGGAGCTGTTCTGCATGCATTTTCTTTCTTTTTTAAAATAATTTTATTGAGAAACAAATAGCAATGAGAGAGTTTCAAAACCGCTTACTAGCAGTTTCAATAATTAATACGTTGCATATCGTTGTTTTAGTGATTATTCATTGTACAAGATGTAGACATGATATCCTGTCCATAAACATTTTTTATAGTGAAGCAAGTGGTAATTATGACCCCTTTTGATGCACACATGCTTTTGACTTGTGGCAACACTCAGATAAAAGTCATGCACATAGCCCTTGTAAATTGTAAATTGCCTGTGTACATGAGAAAATGAAACATTGTATACCAAATTTCTTTTGTAGGTTCACCTATCATTTGAAAGATGGAAAATAAGTTCAAGAGAATTGTTCTCCTGAAAGGTTTATATCCTATCAGTGACTTTCATTTTAGAACAGTAAAGTCTTTAATGGCCAAAGATTTAAACCTGAAAGGAACCAAGCATGAAGAATACGACAAAGTTAAATTTGCTGACCTGATGGCAGAAAAGTTCAAAAGTGATGCAGGACTGGGAAAACTGATAACAATTTTCAAAGACATACCAGATCTTGAAGGCACTGCTGACATTCTGAGAAAAGAGAAGGCAAAAGGTAATGATGTGTATGCTCATGACATTCACTAGAACCCCAACTTGGTCATGGCATCCCTCCCCCAGCGTATTCCTCAGTTCCTATGACAATGTTGTGGTGAAGATGCCAAAACCTTGGCAATCTAGAAAACTCCTCTACTATAGAAAGTTCTAATATACTGGAAGGAGAGGATTTCAGGGAGGTCAAAAAGGAAATAACAAAGGGCTTGGAGAGATGTCTCAGTAGAATAAGCGCTTCCCTGGCAAGTGCAAGGGCCTGAGTTCAATCCCCGGTTCCACCAAAAATAAATGGAAATGAAAACAAAGTAGAATGAATTCTTGACAATTCTATGGCTTCTCCTGCAATGGAAAAAGTATAAAATATCAAAATAAATTTTGGGAAAAAATTATGCATTTAAATATATAGATCAATTAATATAATTTCTCTTTTAGGATATTTATTTCATCATTAAAATCTTCTCTGGCAGGAGATATGAGGTAGTACTTAAATAAAAACCCCTGTGAAGAACTTTTCTCATACATAATTACTTGGTTTACCAAAAATACGTAAGATTTATAAGCCCAGTAGCATCATTTAGTCACAGCATATTTAAGAATAAAGTTTAGTAAGATTTTTTATAGATGATGACCTAATCTGAATATCATGAATACTTCTGATTCCTAAAAAGGAGACCAGAGACTAGGGAGATAGCTCAGTGGTCCAAGCACCTGCCTGGCAAGCACAAGGACCCAAGTTTGATCCCCATTACCACATGCTGTGCTGGCCCCAGAACCCCGAGTATGCAATGCCAGCCCGCAAAACCAGGCACTGGGAAGGCTGAGACGGGAGAATCACTATAAGTCTGAATTGTGCAACAAGACTCTGTACCAAATAAATAAATTAATGAATGATTTTTAAACTGTTTTTTTAAAAAGTAGACTATATGACAAGGTATATCTGCTGCAGAAAACTGCAGGTTGTTCTCATTGCACCTAGGGAAAAAGAGGGAAACACTGAGTCTGTGCTTGTGCCTAGGTTGCCACCATTGTCTGCCTGATAACCAACCAATGAAATAGTAGCAGAGGGGCCTACTTAAATACACAAAAACTGTAAGGACATTGGTCACGTTACTGTGGCCCTCCATGCACTTTATTGTATTTTCTTTTTTTTTTTTTGTATTTTCTTTTATAGTATCTGATAAAAAGAAATGCAAAAGAAAACCAAAAACTACAGAGAAAAGCAACAAGAAGAAGAAATCCAGTACTGTTCAACATGCACTCACCACACCTCAAGATTCGCAATCAGAATCAGTGACGAATTTGCCCTCCTCGAAGGTAGGCTGGCTGAGCTCCAGTGGCAAGGCTGCTCCCATGGCTCCCTTGCAACCTCCCTTTCGGTGAACACTTAGTTATTTCTTTAGTGAAGATGAGGATCAGAGTCAATATCCACAGCTGTTTGTTCATCGTGTGACAGGACCACAGCACTCTGTAACTTTTTAAGTATAAGCCTGTCTGATAGAAATATTACGTGATTATGCCTTGATTAGTTGTGTAGCAAAATAGCAGTCTGTTTAGGGAAATGGCTCACCAAAAGACTATTCAAAGAGACCTAATCCAGACCTGAACTTTCTTTTTCCTTTTCTTTCTTTTTTTTTTTATTTTTTTTTTTTATTTTTTATTTTTTGGCCAGCTCTGTCCACACTGAGGGCGGGGCTAGGGCAGCACATGGTGCTGGGGATTGAACCACAGTCCCCTGCACCTGCCTAAGCTTCCCTATACAGATGCTTTAGACCACTGAGCTATCTCACCAGCCCCTCGACCCAAACTTTCCATACACAAGTCACCTCTTTTCTGTCAGCAGAAAGGGGTAAATGCATAACATGTGCAAAGTGATTATATTCTATGAGGCAATCATATATGCCCGCTGTCCACCTTCTGACCATCTCTTGAGGTGGTCACTGCTTCCTGGTGGTTCCTAGGGTATAATTTTAGCATAATTGCAATCCAATAATCAAAAGTGGATTTTTATGGTATTAAAGATGCTGTACTTCATCTTACATTAAAAACATTATGAGGCTGGTTCATAGCTCCATGGTAGAGTCTCTGCTTTGTAAGTGTGAGGTGCTGTGGATTTGTTTCTCAGCAATGCAAAAAGGAAAAAGGAATCACCAAGAGCTGTAGCTGTTGGCCAGTGGAATGTGCTTAGTGTATGTGAGGCCTCTGGTTCCACTGCTAGCACCAAAAACTAAAATATAAACAACAAAAAAGCAATAATTCCTTTGAACACAAAACCAAGAGAGATTATAGGTATGCTGTTCCAAAAAGAAGAGAACACAAAGGTGGAAAGAATTCACATCTGTATTCATCACCTCTCATCAAACTCTTCCTTTTCTGTGTCCTTTTTGTTCCACTCTCCTATGGATACCTGCAACCTGGGAATATGAAGGATACATCTGAAATCAGCATGCAAGAGAGTGACGGTCCAACACAACCAAAGAAGGTCAGAGTGGAACATAAATCAGTATTCTTTAATGTACTTTTTTTAACTAAAAAGAAAAAAAACAAGCATTGCCTTGCTTTGAGCCAGGCTGTATACTCACTGCCATACCCACTAATAAAACACTTCCCACAGAGAAAGATTCTCAGTTTTTGATATGGCTTTCCAAGTATTGTTGTTGTCATTATGCTCAAGTAGCCATATTTCCACCAGTAATCTCCCCCGAAAAGTTTGAAGAAACGGGATGTTGTTTTATTTCTTTTGATCTTGAAGAGAGTATATTATGAACCACGTTTTTGACGAGCAATACTTACTGAATACATTCACCATGACTATTGACTTCCTGTGAGATTTGCTTCCCTTATAACCTGATGTCAGTGTACATCAGAAAGAGGACCCAGATTCCCGTGTGAAGCCTATGCAACTTTATATGAGCTTTTAGTACATGAACAGTGAAGTTTGGAATCTGGGAAGATTTAGGAGGAGAGTAATAGTCACTGGATATGAGCATATCTTAGTGTTCCAGAAAAAAAAAATCAGAGGGCAAAGATTTAGTAGGAAAAGAAAGAAAAGATATTCTGTGTATGACTTTGAAACTCATGATTCAGCAATAAGGGGTAAAATCTCTTCTTTCTTCAGAAAAAGGAAAATCCAACCAAGAAAGCAGACAACTTAAAAAAAACCAAACCACAGCAGGAAACAAGCTTAATGCCAGAAACTCCTGCTTCCACCACAGCTCTGCAGAGCCCTGTCAAGCCTGCACCCAACTACTCGAGCAGCACCTCAGCCCAGGTATTAGCTTTCTGCTCCCTTTCTCTTTTCCTATGTAAAATAACAACAATCATAATGGGAAGCTTCAAAAATCAGCTTATCTAACCATGTTAAAAAAATTATCTTTTTAATATATACTACTCCTTTTACTCTGCTCATTCCACTTTATTATTTTTCTTCTATATTTGTATTGAGAAACAAATAGCAATGAGACAGTTTCAAACTGATTAATAGGACAGTTTCAATAATTAATACATTGTACATTGTTATCTTCTTAGTGATTATCCATAGTATAAGATGCAGACAGGATGTTCTTTGCAAACACTATTAGTACAAATCTTTATTCTCATTGAATTAAGCAAAAGTAGCTGTATATCTATCCTAACTATTCTGCATATACAGATACGAAATGGTCCTTACATTGTGTCTCCCTTTTTTGTTTCCTCTTGTCAGAGATGGGTATTCCATTGGCATCTAATACTATAGGTGTGTGAATTCAGCAAAACAATCCAAGAGTCCAGCAGTCCACAATAGCAGTGGGTTATCTGCAGAAGTTGTTGACCTGAGCCTGTCACAGCTCAGCATATTAATATGGCTTGACCTTATATGTCTTGTTTTCCTACTTTTCTGCTGGATGGTTAAGACCAAGATAAAGCAAGACCTATATAACAAGAAATGTTACTTATGTATGTGATAAAATCAGTCGAGTACCCTCAGGATTTATCCTGTAACCCTATCCCGCAGTTTGCAGATCCTTTGTTAACGTCAGCCGTGTGGATGAGTCACAGCCATTGCTTGACCAATTTGCTCTCTGTGAAAGCCTGAGAGAATGTTTTCTCTCCAGGTGACTCTCCTGAGGCACAGTCTACCTCAGCAACCACATTCTTCTGTGGCCCCATAATCTTGGTCAGAAAATTTGGGACACAACTGAGTTACATAATGTTATAGTATAGGTTCTCATATGTCACACATCTTCACTGAACTTGAAAGGCTAGGGTAAATGTGTTGGCTATCCTTATAGCCCTTCTTTTTCACTAATTTTTGGTCTCCAAACTTAGGTTGTTAACTCTCCAGAAGAGAAGTTTATTATTACCCTACAACATATACAGTTTGGATTAACTTCACTATCTGAATATCAAACATTTAAGTCATAACATGGAACAGGCATTTTCCATCACGAATTGATAGGTTAAACTTTAAGTCCCTACAGAATATGGAGATAAAAATTTTAAAAATCAAAAATGCTTAAAGAATATGAATTTAAAAATTACATATTTTTACACAGAAATTAAGAAATCTAACCATATACACCATTGTAACAGGATAGTCCTGGAATGTTTTATCTTTCTTGTATCTTTTTTTTTCATTTATTACCCATTAAAAAAAAACTTTTACTGGAGAAACAGTATAGTAATAACTGGTATGTCATGACAAGAGGTACATATTTAGAAGACCAGAATGGCAGGCATTCCAAGCATGACCCTTCTATTACACATTGCCATCTTCAGTGCAGTTGCTTGGTTCACAGGTATCAGCATATATAGTCAGAGTGAGAATCTTACCAATTAAATTCTAGTTTCAAAAACCTGATGATATTGCTCAGGATCATTCCTTGCCCATCTTGTGTGTAGAAATGTATGGCGTTGGCGTTGTCCCTGTCCTGTTTCCCAGATTTTCTCCTTGTCCTCTCCTCATTGTCCAATCCTCAAATTCTCACTTTCCTTTTAATTTTATTATAACTTTTCATTTTTATTTCTTCTTTTGAGTTCTCATACTAGAGAGACTATACGATATTTACACATGTCAGTCTGGTTTGTTTCACTTTTGAGTATATCTTCAAGTGGCATCCATTTAAATATAAATGTTTCAACTTCATCATTATTTATAGCTGAATAATACTCCATTGTATAAAAAAGTCCCAATTTTTTCAACCATTCTTCATGTGACAGGCATCTTGGTTGTTTCCAAGATTTGACTATCACAAATTGTGCTGCTATAAACATAGGTACAAATATATCACATCGATGTGATGTTTTCAGTTCCTCCGGGAAAATTCCCAGTAAGGGGATAGCTGGCATCAATGAGCTTTCCAGTCCTAGTTTTTTAAGGAGTCCCCGCACTGATTGCCATAATGGTTGCACCAGTCTACATTCCCTCCAGCAGTGGAGAAGGGTTCACTTCTCACCACAGCCTCTCCAACATTTGTTGTTGGTTGATTTCTTTATGATAGCCATTCTTTCTTGGGTGAGATGATATCTCAATGTTGTTTTAATTTGAATTTCATGGATGGCTAGTGATGTGCAGCATTTTTTCATATATTTACTTGCTTCTTTAATTTCATCCTCTAAATAGTGTGTGTTCATCTCAGATGTCCATTTCTGGATTGGGTCTTGAAACTTACGACCCCTAATGTTTTTTAGTTCTTTATAAATTCTAGAGAACAGACCATTGTCTGAGGGCTTATTAGTTAAGATTAGGTCAAAATTATTGGGTTGTCTTTTTACTTTGATGGTAATTTCTTTTGACGTGCAAAAACTTCTCAATAAGAGGTTTTCCCAGTTGTTAATTTTTTCAAGAATTGTCTGTGCAATTTGATTTTTGTTTATGAACTCTTTGCCTACCCCTATGTCTTCAAGAGTTCCTCCTACTTTCTCTTCCAGGAGATTTTTCATTTCTGTTTTAATGTTTAGATCTTTAATTTATTCTGACTTGAGCTTAGTGCATGGTGATGGACCAGGGTCAAGTTTTAGCTTTCGGCATATAGAGAGCCACTTTTTCCAGTACCATTTCTTGAAGAGGCTGTCTTTCTTCCAGTAAGCATTATTGGCCCCTTTGTCGAAGATCAGGTGACAGAGTGTGTTGCTAGAGGCCTGTGCATCTTCTAATCTATTCCATTGATCCTCAGATCTATTTCATTGCCAATACCATGCTGATTTTAGGGGCTGGGGAGATGGCTCAGTGGAATAAGCTCTTCCCTGGCAAGCACAAGGTCCTGAGTTCAATCCCTGGATCCGACAAAAAAAAAAAGCAGAAAAAAAAATCCAGGTGTGCTGACTTCATTACAGTAACTTTATAGTATAATTTCAAGTTAGGAATTATAATGCCTCCTGCATTGTCTTTGTTGCCCAGGATTGCCTTTGCTATTCTAGGTCTTTCCTGGTTCCAAATAAATTTTAGGAACGATTTCTCTAGGTCTGAGAGGTATGTTCATGGTAGTTTGATAGGGATTGCATTAAATCTGTACAACAATTTTGGGAGTATGACCATCTTCACAATGTTGGTTCTTCCTATTCATGAGCAGGGAATATTTTTCCATTTTCTGAAATCCTCTGCGATCCCTTTTTTCTAGGTACAGTAATTTTCCATGAAAAGATCTTTGACTTCTTTAGTTAGATTAATTCCAATTTATTTTATTTTCCACAGTACTATTGTAAAAGGTATTGTTTCTCTAATTTCCCTCTCAGTGTGTTTGTTGTCTGTGTAGAGGAATGCTATTGACTTTTGAGTATTGACTGTATCCTGCTATGCTACTGAATTTGTGTATCTATTCTAGTAGCTTCTTGGTGGAGTTTTTTGGGTCTTAAAAGTAAAATATCATGTCATCTGCAAATAATGATAATTTAACTTCTTCTTTACCTACTCTTATTCCTTTTATTTCTCCCTCTTGTCTAATGGCTCTAGCTAATGATTCCCTACCTATATTGAATAGGAGGAGTGATAGAGGTTATCCTTTTCTTGTACCAGATCTGAGAGTAAAAGATTTCACTTTATTTTCCATTTAGAATTAAATTAGCTATTGGGTTGTTATAGATGGCATTAATCAAAGTGAAGTAAAGTCCCTCTATTCCAATTTTTCTGTAGGACTTTGAACAGAAATGAGTGTTACACTTTGTCAAAAGCCCTTTCTGCATCAATTGAGATGATCATGTGATTTTTACATTTTGCTCTATTGATATAGTGTATAACATTTATAGATTTTTTAATATTGAACCATCCTTGCATTCCTGGGATAAATTTTACCTGGTCATGGTGTATGATCTTCTTGATGACTTGCTGTATTCTATTTGCTAGCATTTTACTGAAGATTTTTGCATCTCTGTTCATGAGGGAGATTGGCCTGTAGTTCTCTTTTTTAGTTGTGTCTTTCCCTGGTTTTGTTATCAGTATAATGCTTGCCTCAAGGAATGATTTTGGGAGAAGTGCTTCCTTTTCAATTTCATGGAAGAGTTTGAGGAGTGTAGGGATCCTATCTTCTGTAAATTTCTTGTAGAATTCAGCTGTGAATCCATCAGGACCTATACTTTTCTTTTCATTACATTTCATATTTCATTAGCTATTATTGGGTTATTAAGAGTTGTGGTATCTTCTTGATTCAGCTGTGGTAATTTGTACCTTTCTAAGAATCTGTCAATTTCATCTGTGTCTTCTCTCCTGTGAGTGTAAAGATTCTCAAAGTAACTATTATTTATCTTCTGAATTTCCCCTGGGTCTGTGGTGATTACCACCTTTTCATTCCTTATTGCTTCTATTTGATTTTTTTCTTTCCTCTTTTTGATGAGGTTTGCTAAGTGCTTATCATCTTTATTTAGTCTTTCAAATAACTGGCTTTTTGATTCGTTAATTCTTTGAACTGGTTTCTTCATCTCAATTGAATTAATTTCTGCTCTAATCTTAATGATTTCTTCCCATCATTGGGCTGTGAGTTTCATTTGCTCTTCCTTTTCTACATGTCGGAGGTGCAGCATTAGGGTGCTTATTTGTTCCCATTCTGTTTTCTCAATGTGTGAGTTCACAACTATGAATTTCCCTCTGAGAACTGCTTTCATCGCATCCCATAAATTCTGATAAATTGTATTTGAATTTTCATTGAATTGTAGATATTGTTGAATTTCTTGTTTAGTTTCATCTGTGACCCACTGATTGCTGAGTAGAGTGTTGATTAATTTCCATACACTTAGGTGTTTTTTTCTTTTTTCTTTTGTCGTTTAATTTCAGTTTCATTGCACTGTGTTCAGATAATA